CTTGATGGTTTTTGAGTTGTATAATACGTCTTGTCCCCTTGCACTCACCCTGCACTCCTGGAGGCCGCCGAGTCTTTGGCAACTAGGTGCGCCTTGGCCGTGCATGCTGATCTGCATGCCATGCATTGCAATTTCTGATTGGGTGTGATTGCTGGGCCACCTTAATAGGCTCAAAATGGCTCAAATTGGCAACAAACTTATGAACCTTAACAACCACCAGCATTTGAAGATGTGACTGTTCTGAACTGAGCATGCAAATTCTTAAACCAAAGTATGTCATATTCTAGCTTCAAACTATCTTCATGCATAAAAGGATACAAATCTACATGCACACCCAGGAAAAAAAACCTTTAGCGCACATTTCTTTATCTATATATTTATAAACTGTATATATAGTCGTCGTGTGGGCTGCCATATGGGCCATGGGCCGACCTCTGAACTCTGGCCTGATTGCAGCATATGCTGCCAGCTTCAATAAGTACCCTATCCTGAAGAGTCGAGGGTTCTCAATTTTGGTCAATACCTCCGGGAAGCTGTTCACAAGTACGAAGCCTTCACTGAAGGATGTCGATGCCAACACAGAGGATTGTTCTGGGAAAAATGGTTTGGTTTGGAAATATTTGTTGGAATATGTTTTGGAATGTTTCGGAATATGTTTCATATACTATAAGATCTGTGTTGTCATGGTGTCATGTGCCATCATGTGCTGCTCCACCCTGAAGGTGATAGAATCTGTAATGGAGGTGTGCTGTGGAAAAGGACGATTTTCAGCACATCTTTTGTCACAAGCGGTGTCCAAGTTTTTCACGGACCAGTCTTTATTCCCCAAGGGGATGTGTGCAGACATGGAGTGTGTTGAAAACTGGTCTCTGCGCTGTGGCCAAACCATTCAGAGATTGGAGACTTGGAGAATCTTCAGGGGATACCTTATGGATATGTCTCAAAATGAGGTGTCCGTTTTTGGTTCCAAAATAGCTACTTTGAGGGGAAAAATGGACACCTCATTTTGAGACATATCCATATATAAGATTCTAGATTTGTTGGCAATAGCACTTTATGTGTGTATATATATAGAGATTTGTATATACATATATATATATGTGTATATCTATATGTATATATATATATATATGTACATATATATATAGATATTGTTTGTTTTTATTCCCATGTTTTTCTCCTGTATATGTCAGGTAAAAATCATGGTTATATATTATAACATATAATATAGTTTCCACTCATGTTAGCCATGCAGTGTGTCGAACCAATTTACCTAGGTAAGCCGCTTTCGTCGACTGCTTCAACGGGCAGATGGTGCCAAAATGAAGAGGACCAATGAGCTGAAGGAACGGCTCAAAAAAATCATCGTAACTTTGCCGCACTTATTTGTTGAAAGTCTTCAGATCATTTTGAGACGTTTTGAATCTGAGATTGAACAACACTTTTGTATTTATATATATTTATATACCATCATATATATATGATATCTAAGGACTTCAGTGACATCAGCGAACATCCTGATGATGTAGAAGATGGTGATAGTGCAAGTTCCTCGTGCGACAGCCTTTCTGAGCTTTCAGCGGCAACTGTGCCTTTTGCACCGCAAATTGAGAGCCTCAAGGACCAGAAACTCCAACGACTGGTGGTTCAAATGAAAATGGGAATTAAGGGTCATGGTGGGGTTGCTCCAGAAAAAAAATCAACTCCTGTGCAGCCTGCACAGAATCCTGATGTGGCAGCTGTTCCACAAAAGAAGGATGAAAAGGAACTACAGGCAATGGGGGAACAGTTGAAAATCCTGGTCGAAAAAGCTACAAGGCATGCCCAGTCCAAGCAAGGCATACAATACATGCAAGAATTGCCTGGTCATGTTTCTTGGATTAATTAATCCATATATTGCCTCAACATATTGCTTTGATTCACCTTTCCTTGCCATTGCCATATATTGATGACAACCCTGATTAAACTAGCTGAGGTTCTTGAGACTCTGAAGACTTTGGGGACTGCTCCAAAACCGTTCCCGCAATCAGCCCAGTACAAGAGCAATTTCAACAAGGACACTGCGCATGCTGATCCTGACCCTGATGCTCCAGAACTCGAGGCATCTAAGGTGCCCAGCAAGTCCACTCCAAAGGGCAAGAAGAAGCCTCGCGCGACAATCAAGAATGCAAAGATGAAGAAGGGCCCACCAGCCAAATCTACAGATGTTTCAGCAGCCAAATCTACAGATGTTTCAGCAGCATCATCTGAAGATGTTTATCAACCCCATGAATATTCCCGACTCAGAAAAGAGTTCATCAAAGCGAAGAAAGATTCTGGTCTTTCAGGGGTGGATGCAAATGAAGCTTGGAATCAGTCCCAGCAGAAGAGGAAGCTTTTAGCTGGGGTCAGTGTCACTCAGCTTCGCCGCAGGCGTTTTATTGAGAAAGGTTGTAATCACAACCCTTGGGCCAGCTAAAGGAATTTGGAAAGTGATTCGTGTTGATAACAAAACCTGTTGCCAACTCAGATTGAATTGTTTGCTTCAGTACATGCTGGCCGCAAAATTCATTCGAAGAACATGTGCATAACTGTTGCACTTTGAAATTGAACAGGCATTGGCCTATTTGCAACTAGAGGGTGGCAAAATCTGGGAAAAACTTGGATTTTACTGGATCCAATTACACCCTGCACTGTGTTGGAATTCCCATCCACTTGGACCTGCATGTACTCATCAAACGCTTGGATTTTGGCGACATTCAGCTGGTTCAGATCCTGGCGAAAGCAATTCTTTCAACATGCACCCAATGCCAAAAATACATAGACTATATATATATGCTGTTTGAGCTTCAATAATTCCACTTCATCAAAACACGCATGCAAAACACATCCAAGTATTTATATATATACACACTTTGCCGGATATGTGTTTTCAAACTGTGTTCCATATAGAGCTTTCGCTTGAGACGCGCTGGTGAAAATGGTGGTCATGGAGCTTATGAGATGGAATGCACCCGCTGTGCTGATGTTGTTGGTGGTGCTGCTCACCGCAAACTCCAGGATCCCCCAATCCATGGACGTGGGATTCTGCGAGTTTTTTGCAGGGGATGGACAAATCAGTTTGGCTCTTTGGAGTTGTGGAGTGAAAGGTTCCTCTCACGATATCCGTTACTCCAATCTTATGGATTTGTGTTCACCTCATGGATTTGCGTTTCTTGATTGCAATTTAAAACATCATGCGGCTGCTGTTGTTGTTGAATATGGTGACCGAGCTATAGCTAAGGTTGGCAATCAACGAGGTGTGGAACACAATTCCTGGTGCCTTCTGCATGTTTGGCATTTGTTGCAACTCCTTCTGCAAAATGCAACTTGGCCTGAATATATATATATACACACCTGATGTTGGTGCAAGGACTGATTTTGATGTATACAGCTTCTAGATACAAGATATCTAGATTCTGAGGTCATCTCACACGAGCGGACGTGATATTTTCAATGACTACTATGGAAACACTGGCTATGACTTCGTGAAAGTCGGAAATTGCTTGGCAAGTCGGCTAATATTGCTTCTGATGCTATGTTCTGTCAGAGGGTGCCGGTGGCTGGTAGAACAACCAGAAGGATCTACATTGGCCAGTACTTACAGGTTCCAGCAATTCCTTGGACTTACCACAGTTTCCTGGCAGTTGTTTTTGCATCCTGATTCTGTGCATGATTGAGCATTTCATATTTGGCCCACAGCCATGCATGAGGTTTTCACCACGTCTTTCTGGATGGGGGCCTTTCATGGCCAAACACCAAAGAGGCATCGCCTATGGAGCAATGACAAGGGTCTGCTTGATGAGATCTACAAAGTGGGGGGTTACATGAGTCGATCTGCTATGCAATCACTGCCTGGTTCAGCTCTTGTGCGAAAGTATATGGACAAGAAAGGAAAGCAGCGACGAGTTGGAATTCCATCCAGGCTCAAGCAGAGCCAGTGTCTTGGATGCAACACCATGCTAGGTTTCGGATATTTCAATTGCTGCATGTGCTTCAGTTCGGCAATAGTTTTGTGCATGTAAGAAAGCCTGATCTCAGGGCATACACTGCTGCGTTTGCAGACCTTGTTGCTCGTGTTACCCGATCACCTTTAAAGGACGGTTGGGAGTGTGCAAATTCTGGAATGGCTGAATAAAGGTTTCATGCATGATATATTTTAATGAAAAGAGTGTGTCTTATTCTGAATACAGACTCTCTCTCTCTCTTTCACTCTGGCTTTTATCTACCAATCAGCCGCTGTGCATGCAGGATCCACTGCCTGGACCAAAAGACCCCAATGAAATCGACCCTGGACTTGGTGATGCTGAGCTATTTGAAGCAGCATTTCTTCCCAACCCTTCCGATGGCATTGAATCGCTGGGTGACCTATGGTCTGATGTGCTTTTGCAGCATCAATTTGCATTTAAAAGTGTGGCTGGCAAGTTCTTCTTCAAGCTTAGTATACCCATATATCTCCATTTATGTCCCACAGCCCAGGCCGATGTTCCAGCTGTCCTTCGATATCTGGCTGGATGCAAGTATCTGCGCCCGCGTGGCAAGTGGGTCATGGCCTCAGGGCCACCATGCTCACAGGTTTGCAGAACATGATGCCATGCATAGCAATGGAAATGAGGAAACCATCCTGAAACGGCTCGACCTGAAACACCTCTAGTGTATATATCCTGTTTCGGGATGTATATAGATTTGACTCAAAGGGTGGTGTAGCTGTACATGCAGCTCTTCCAGCTCTTTGCAAATTATTGCAAATTCACCTTCCTAGATTGGACCTTTGATGGTCTTTGCAAATTCAACTGCCAACCTATAGCAGTTGTGAACCGTGAAAATCCGTGAAATGACCGTGAAAAACACCCAAATGACCGTGAACGCACCGTGAAATTCGTGAAACTGAGTCATGGCAATTCTGGGAATTTTTTGTGACTATGTGGAAGCTTTTTGAAAGCTCAGAAAAAAACTTAGAGGGAGGGCCAGTGGCGATTGCAATGTCGCTGCAAGATCTACCTTTTGCGCTCGCGGAGCTCAATTGGGACAAGCTAGGCATCGTGAAGAAAACTTTGAAGCTCTCAGAGGAGGATGCTGTCCATGTCATGACCCATGTGCTTGGGGCACGGCCATCTGAATCTTGGCCTGTATTTTATATAGCGCATTGTTTTTTAGATACTTTCAAGCTGGGCTGCATGAATGCTAGTCTATTTTTTGCGTTGTCCAGCATTTTCCTAGGATGAAAGCAAGAAGGATGAAAGCAAGAAGGAACCAAAGAAGCCGAAAACAGGAAAGGTTCAGCCCAAGAAAAAGCAGACCCCTTCGGCATCTTCGACCAAGAAGCCAAAAAAGGTTAAGGCGGTTCAGAAAACAGCAGCCAAGAGCGCAGCCAAGTCCAAAAAGCCAGCTGGAGGCAAAGCAAAGACAAAAGCTGCAGGTAAGGCAAAGGCCAAGTCAGCTGGAAAGGCAAGCAAAAAGGCAGCTGAGAAAGAACCCTTAACTGATGTGGGACCATATGGGTTTGGAGAAGAAGGGGAAGAAGAACCACAAGAAGTTGATGAAGTTTTTGAAGACCCTGAAGTGACGCGCAAGCGAAAGGAACCTATCGCTATGCCACCTCCTCATGGCATTCCTGGGCCATCAAAGAGGGTTTCCAAGCCGAAACATGAGCCTCCTGTGGTGCCTAAGGATCCTGCACAGCCAGCAGCCGTGGTCGCTCCAGCTGCTACTCCACCAACTCCAGCCTCATTGGCCCATGGTGCTGGTGAGGAAGCTGACACGCAGGAGAGTACTCTCTGGTTTCTTGGCTTATTTCAAGTGGAATATATATATATATATTATTTGACCATGTCAAATCCTGAACTAAACTATGAATTCATTAAGTGTTTTCCTTTACACCTTCTGTTCCAAATTCTGGAAGGGTATACATATGTGTAACTGAGGTCATGTGCTACGTTGCAACAGGGCATCAACTTTGTGAATGGTCCACAGTTGGCTGACACCCAGAAGGATGAGGATGAGATGTCGAATGCTACCACGCTTCCGTTTCCTGGATTCAGAAACCAAAATACCATGAGATGATACACATAAAAGTTTCTGAAAAAACAAACTTATAATATATATATATAACATATATATATACATAATAACAATAATATTATGTTTTTTTTTTGGGGGGGTGTCCGGGGTGTCCCTATAAATCAGATCGAAACAAAACAAACAATCCCAAACCAGACCTTCTTCTTCGGTTGATAGCTTGGCTAGCTTGGATGCCCTTAATCCTTGATTTTTTTTGCCCAACCAAGGCTTGGAGTCAGCGAAGCTGCGGCTAATGATATGCAATCTTTGCTGGATGCTTCTTTGGCCCGTATCAAAGCTTTGGAGGACCAGCTTTCAAAGGCAAGTTCGGGGGCATCTTCGCCTGCACCTGCAGGCCTTCGACGGTCTACACCCTTGGTGGATATTTGCTCTCCTTCGGAGGCCTTGGGGGTGTACCCAAAAAAACAAAACAATCACAAACCACACATCATAAATTTCCAGAAACACACACAATATACATACATATATATATACATATATATATATACATATATATATATACATATATATATATATATGTACATATATATATATACATATATATATATATGTATATTTATGTATATATATTATAGCTATACCCTACATATTTTTCATTTGTATATAATAAATGTAACATGCAAATATTTGTGTTTAGTATCTATATTTTTTTATGCATTTTATCACCTAACCACAGCCACATATGTATATATATATATATATACCATGTAGGTGATGGTTTGCATGCCCCAACGCTGGCAGGACTATCCCGACAACCAGCTGGGACTCTATCCTGAATCTCCAATTCCTACACCAGGAGGAGAAAGCCATGCTCCAGCAATGCCTGCTGTGGGTGGATCTGAGCCCTTGGCAGCTACCACCAAGCCTGCCAGTGAAGCCCCATTGGGGGACACCCAGATGATTGCTCCTGCAGGAGCTGTGGACGAGCCTGAGAAGCATGTGGAAAAGGTGCCAGCTGCAACACTGGCAGCAGAACCCATGCAGTCTGAAGGACAGGCAGCAGAAGCTACGCAGCCTGATGGACATGTCGAAGCAAAGCAGCCTGATGCCCAGGCAGCAGCACAGCAGCCTGATGCCCAGGCAGCAGCAAAGCAGCCTGATGCCCAGGCAGCAAAGCAGCCTGATGCCCAGGCAGCAAAGCAGCCTGATGCCCAGGCAGCAGCAAAGCAGCCTGATGCCCAGGCAGCAGCAGAGCAGCCTGATGCCCAGGCAGCAGCAAAGCAGCCTGGTGGACATGTTCCAACTCAGGAGGCAGAAGCGAAGGAGCCTGATGTGTCAATGCAGGCTGTTGGATCCATGGCAGCAGACCCAGCTGCATCGGCTGGTGGCCCCCCGGATCGAACGTTGGAGCTCAATGGGCTTCAGGCCCTGATGAAAAATCAAAAAAATCGGGAAGCACTGCAAGAGCAGTTGGCACTGCAAAATGCTGAGCAATTCCGAGCGCAGAATCCGGGACCAATCAGTATCAACACTCCTCGAGTCGAAGTGAACTGGAGCAGTCATAAACGTGAAGGCATGCGCCTTAAGAGGCTTATGGAAGAGAGCTCTGAGGGAAATAAGTTCCCCCACATGCAACGGCTTTGGAACAGTGGGTCCGCAGTGTCTTGGTGTTCGATTATTTGCCATTAAGGCTTTTGAAGTTTTTTAGGTTCAGGACATATATATATATATATTTATTTTTTATTTTTTTTTGGTGGGGAACTGCGCTTGGCATCAGGATCGAAAGCAGCTGCTTCAGCAGTGGGTCAACTCCGGTGGCAATGCGCAGAGCATTGAAGCGGATTTGGTCTTGAGCAAGACGCGTGCGAACAAGCACCAAAGCAAGCGCGAGCTCTTGACCACATCCGAGATGCAGCGGAGGGAGATCCCCATTGAGAAGATTAGGGCAATTGTTGCCCGTGGGAATGGAGTGGCTGATCCAGATTGCCCACACATTCCGAGTTTGACAAGGTTTTGGGTATCTACCTCGACCACGGAGATCGACACCGACGAAGTGAAGCAGGAAGCAACTCTGCGCCTTCAAGCTGATGCGGCCAGCACCATTGGCCTTATGGGGGCAAACCAGTCTTCGACTGCCAGCAGTGCCCTGGGAGCAGACGGCATGCAGCAGATTCTGCAAAGCCTGCAGACTCCTGCTGTTGAGGACACAGGACTGCATCCTGATTTTTTGCTATTTATGTTGGTCAAACATTTTCACTTTGGGCTGCATGCATGTCCATTTAAGTGGACTATATACATGTACATATATATATATATGTATATAATATATATATATATACACATATGTATAATATATAAATACATATGTAGAATATATATATATATACAAGTATGCAAATATATATATGTATATATAATATGTATATATATATATAAATATATGTATATATATATGTATATATAAGATATACATATGTAAATAAAATTTTATATATATGCATATATATATGCAAATAAATAAATATATATATATATATATATGAATATATATATACACACATATATATATATTGTAAACAAATATGTTGTTTAGGCCTTTTCTACCCACTGCAGTTGTATGGATATATATAACCACCCATGTTTTAATTTAAATATGATGTTGATACTCCCAAACTCTTATATATATCTTTGGCCACTGCAGGACCCAGCTGTGGAGCCGCGAAGGCCAAGGCCAAGGCAAAGGCCAAATGCAAGGCCAAAGCGAAGGCTGCCTCGCAAGCCGGCGTTGCAGAGGCTGGACCAAAGACAGCTGATGAGTTGAAGACCGAGATGGGTCATCATCTTAGTTTCCATTCTCTTCATGATTCAATCTTGTTCATACCCATATTGCACTATATATATATAGTGGGTACCAGTGGCAGTTAGTTCCAATGAGGCACTGCGCTGAAGAAAGAGCTTGCCAATGTGACCAGTGTCTTCTTGGAACTTCCGGCGGGCCATTCTTTGCGAGAAACATTGGGGGCCTACAAGACTCGCTTTGAGGAGTACATGGATGAGTTCCTTGGGCTGAATCTGCATATGCTTCACTGCAGGATGCCTACTTGGTCATGTCTATTATAGTTTTACAATGTCCAACAATCTAAGGATGAAATCTTTGCAGACGGCTGCAAATTGTTCTGACATGAAATCCGAGATCGAGGGCGAGGCCAATTCTTTTGTCATGATTTTCATGGTTGAACCCTCGATTCCTGACTGACTTTTCTTAAATTGGTCAATAGATCTATCCCCTGATCCTGCAGGTGAAGAATTGCCGCCTTGTGAAAGCGCAAGCTCGCGCTGTCCTCTCTGAGCTGAAGAAGCAAAATGCTTCTGCCTAGGGCGCCACATATGATCATGTGGTTTTGCCCGCTTTTTGATGTGGGATTTCACCTGGTATGGGGTATACGTGCCTTAGAACCTTGCTAGCGCTGGAGGTGACCTGGGAATTTTGAAACTTTACATTGTACATCATTGTACATATCTTTTACCAATATATATATATTATATGCATATATGCCCCATACTTAAACATAATTAATAATCCTGAATGTTTGTGCTTATCCCATTTGTTTTCATTTAGATCCACCTAGGAAAACCACCCATGAAAATAAACCATGATCATGAGTGCTGGCAGGGATGGTGCGGGATTGGACCACCAATCAAATCTTGTCTGCCAGGTGATACCTAGCTTAGAAATCTATGGAAAATTTGAAATCAACGCGATGCTCAAATGGCTTTGCCTTAGGCTCTGAATTTATTAGATGTTTTGACATTCCCCTATTTCAGGTGTCAAAGAATGATTCGGATGGCAAAGCAAGTGTGGTATGCGGGATGTCCCTGCAGCACCCGACATTCAAGTGAAAAAAACATCAGACCGTCCACATCTGCAGTCGAGTTTGATTTGGGAATTACCTGTCATGTTTTGGGTTCAACCATATCTCATGTCTCCTGATGCTCGCAGGTGCCTTGCCACCTGCAGATTCCCGGAACCCACTTGGGGACTTGGACAGATTGCTTCTCGGCCTGAGATTTCGAGCGCTTGCCAATTTCTTGGAAACTGGTTGACTCCTAAATTGCATGAGGCTTGCCGCTGGTGTCGGTACTGGAAATTCTACAGCGAAGCATGCCCGATCAGTGGGTGATCTTTTTTCATCAGGAGTATTCAACAAGACCCTCAGCAGCATTAATGAAATCATCTAAATCTATAGTTGAAAGTTTGCAATGGTGACTGCACATTCTGAATCATTCTTGCAAGTTTTCTTCAAATTGCAGACAGATCGTTTTTCATGACCCTGCATGCTGAGTCCAAATGAAACTTCAGAGACTGCGATGCACAACAAAGCCAAACGAACTGGATTAACTCTGGGATGTGAGATGAGCTATCACGATTTGCCCATTTGCACTGGGTATGATGATGATGGGGTCCCGGTGATCGAGATGAAGCCCTGGCCCTTCCTGCTTCCAAACCAAATGGTTCCTGGCTCAATTTCAGGTGTATATATATATATACCTATCTATATATCTATCTATCTATCCATCCATCCATCTATCTATCCATCCATCCATCTATCTATCTATCGATATCTATCTATCTAAGCTATCTATCTACCTATATATATAATTATATATGTATGGATGGCAAATTCAGATTTGACATATGTTGCATGTTTATATCGTTATGTCATTTTCGGTATACCCTTGGGAATTGAGGCTCAAGCGCTACTGGATGATGGCTTCTTGGATATCCTTGTGGACCTAAGCAAGATGGATGAATATTGGGCCCACATGCTTCAGGAATACCCTGGACATCCTGCAGCTGCCAACCAAGCAAGATCTGTCCCGATCATGCTGTATGGTCACTTGCAAAATCTTGGTACATAATTTGAGGATAACAAACATGTAGTTTTACTTTTCAAAAAAAAACAACGGCGTTTTTTCCAATATTTGTCGGGCAATGTGAAAAATCCTACTCATCAGGTGATGAGGGCCAAGCGTTTGGATGTAGCCATATGGTTTTCCATTGGCAGCCTGAATTGGCACCAAGAGCGTCAGATTCTGCATCGAGCCGGTTTCTGATTACAACGATCCCAAGTTCCTGCTATGTCTTTGACGGTGACATCAACATCACTTTGCAATGTGCTGGCCAACACATTTGCAATTCTTTGACTGGTACAAAGCTCCATGTGATGAGTCGACAAAATGAACCGGCAGCTTGTTTTGATTTTTGTTTTCACCTTCACTCCGGATCCCATTCTATTGTTTGAGGGCTGGGCTTTGAATCTTCGCCATACGCGCTGGCTAAGGTAATGGATCTCGAGATGTACTGCATGCACTTTAAAGGTGATTGGAAATACATCTGGCAGCTTTTTTCACTGACCCGCTATGCAAACAAAGAGCAGGCTGGGGTATAGCAAAAATTATCAAACATGCAGTGGTTGCCAAAAATCTGGCAAAAAATGTGTTTCTCATTCTCATCATGTCTGTTTGACATATCCCTATTTCAGGTCTGCTGGAAATGTGCAGCGACAAAGGGGACGAGCGATGTGAACATGTCGTACACCAACATTGCCCCAACAGCACCGTGGCGTGACACGATCTATGATGGAAGCATTCCATGGGATGAACAACCATCACTGAGCAAGCTCCCGGGCTTTGATTTGAGGATGATTGGCCTAGATATATTGCATATTTTCCATCTGGGTGTGGGCCGAGATTTGGTTGGTAGCACTGTACGTGTTCTGGCACGGCTACGTTTTTGGCGTGGAAACAACCTGGATCAACAGTTGGCATCGGCATCGGTCTCGCTGAGATCCTTTGCGCGTCAGTTTCGCTTGCCTCTTCGCTTGAAACGCTTGACCAAAGTGAATTTAAACTGGAAATCAAATGAGGACCCGGAAGTTCACTGCAAAGGATATGATACATTTGTGCTTCTCAAATGGCTGGAAGCAGAGATGGAGGCGGGTGGGCGGGCAGAAGTTCCATCAGCTCTTCGAACTCTGGTGTGGGCATCGAACAATGTTTTTGGATTGCTGGCAAATGCTGGTATGTTTCTGACTCCGCAACAACAAGACCAAGTGAAAACTGTTGGAAATCTTCTCATGCACACATACTTGGGACTGGCAGCTGCTGCACTGGAGCAAGGAGATCGCCTGTGGAAAATCAGGCCCAAATGGCACCTTTTACATCACCTTTTCTTGGAAACGGACAGAGCTTCAGCCTACAACTTTCACTATCTCAGCACGTGGATGGATGAAGATGGGGTCAAAAAATGGATGAACCTCAAAAAAAAAACGCATCCTTTTCGAGCGACGGAGAGGACCATAAACCGATGGCTTTTAGGCCTGCGCCCCAAATTGGAAGCCATCTTGGCAGAGTGTCTGGAAAAAAGTAAAAGCCGCGAACCTTTGAAGCCACGGGTGTTTGTGTGTTTTTTTTTGCTGGTCTTGGGAGCAAAGACCCAAAACCCACCAGGTTTGAAACCACATGAAACCACAAATTTTGTTTGACCATATGTGTTGATTGTAGGTTTCGTTTCCCTCATGATTTTTTATTAACTAGGTTCCTCTCTCTCTCTCTCTCTCTCCCTATATATTTTATATACACACATATGTATAATATATACACACACACATATGTATATATATACATACATTTTAAAAAAACACGTGCCTATAGGTAGCATGACTGGTTCAGTGACTGAACTCTGCTAATACTGGCTCAGTGACTGGTGGACTGACAGACTGGCTCAGTAGTTTGACTGGTTGAAAGACTGGCTGACTGACTGATTGGCTAGGACAAAGGTTTCACATTGGCTCAAGCATTATGCAGCTTTCTGCAGACTTCATGAGCGTGAAAAAACGTGAAAACCGTGAAAAACACCATTTGTACCACTCAGGGCCCTATCTGGTACGAATCCACCCATGTACCAGATCATCTGGTACGAATCCATCTCTAGGAAGGCGGATCAGAAACTTCCATCAGACCGCAGAAGAAGACTTCTTCGTTGCTGCCAAACTTGTTGTTCTCCAGGTAGTGTGTCTCGGATGGCACCCCAACCTTGTCCTTCTTCTTTGGGCACTCACGTTTCCAATGTCCTTTTTCATGACAAAGATTGCACCGAGTGCGTTTCTTCAATTCTTCGATGGTGACCTGGTAGCGTCCAGGCCGAAAAGGTCCAGACGTTGGGCCCTTACTGCGATTGTCAAAGGGCTTGCCATAGCCACGAGACAACTCTGCCTGCTTCTTCTGTCGCATGGACTGGGTATATGACCTTCTCTGAGAGATCATAGTGCTCAGAATCTCTGCAGCTTCCCTCGCTCAACTCATCTGGTAGCTGAGCATCATCGCCATCCTCCTTGAGCTCAGACAAGAAGGCCTCGAGCTCCTCCGTCTCCTGGTCGAAGGGGTCGTCAAAGGCCTCGTTCTCGGCAATCGGGTCCTTGTTCTCGGTGTACATTATCGAAGTAGAAGAGCTCGTCGTTGTAGATCTCCGCACTGCAACCACACCCAGCTGGCTGATGGTGAGCTTCGTCTCGTTCTTTCGTAGCCAGGATTTGATTGAGCTTGGCTTGATGTCGCCACGTGTGTAGTTCAGCATTGCCTTCACCTCGTTCTCCTCCAACTTGAGGCCGTTGATGAGCAGAAAGCCCAAGTATGCCTCAGGCAAGGTGATGTTGTGTTCCCTCACCTTGCGAAGGGCCGTCTCCCATCTCGCAAAAAACTCTTGCCAATTCTCAGTCTTGCCCCTCTTCAGATGGAAAGTGATTCGCGACAAAGAGGCCAGTAGGTGCTCCTCCTTGTCATCACCATAGTACTCAGGAGTGTCCATCATGCGAAGCAAGTCATCGGCATTGGTCTCAGAGGTGACCCATTGGGTATCTCTGGCGAGATACTTGAAGTGCTCGAAGGGTGGTCCATGCAGCGCTTTCAAGAGCATGGGTCCACGGGCTCGTGGTTTGGCCTTGGTGGTGGCCATCCAGAGCCGGGCTCTAATGAGCCAATCTTCAAAGGTTGTCCCCGATGTGGGGCCATGCCACTCAGGTGGAGGTCCGGCACTTGCGCCTCTTACCCCTGAGGCATCTTCATCACTATCCTCACGACGATGTTCCCGTCGTGCTAAACGCGTCTCCTGCTGTCGCAGGAACTGCTGAAAAAGGCGGAACTGTTGTTCCTCAGAACGGCCAGCTCTACGGCCTGACGGACTAAAGAAGTCGTCAGTCCTAGCTGGTTCAGCGCTAGGATCCGCAGCCCTCGCATCGTCTTCCTCAGAAGACCCCGGCACAGGCACCGCAGTCTGCGACATGTCGTCGCTCCTATTTGACCCAAGGGGGCCACTTCCACTAAGAAAAGTTGATTACCCCAAAACACCCCAAAAAGGCCCGGGGGTACCGGGCTCCGCTACCACTGTAAAACACAAGGGGACAACCAAGACCAACGATCACCTTTTCCGAGTGCAAGTAGCCCCCGTAGGTCATGACAGATCCTAAGGCTTTCACCTGGAGCCATTAAGCGGCATTTGCAAGTTCACATCCAAGCTTCCAACTGTACACCCATATATATTCTATCTATTTATCCTGAAATGATTTTTCAGCCACAGTCCTACCCTAAGCCTGGGACAGTCGAGGTCAAACTGGCATGTTGGATGACCCCGAAGACGCCTGACGGCCGAAAAAAAATATGGCATGCCGGCGATGGTGGAGAGAAGCTGGTGATGATCATCTTTGGTGGATTATATATATATATATACACATATACATACATATACATACATGCATGCATGCATGCATGCATACATGCATGCATGCATACATACATACATGCATGCATACATACATACATACATATAATATGATATGATATGATATGATATGATATGTGTATATATATATATCATAATTATATATATATATCATAATGATATACATCTGAGTCAAGTTTTTCAACTCAGCACTTCGTCCTGAATTTGGGTTGGTTCAATGCCGATTCCTCTTGCTTCAAGCACTATTTTTGCTACTGAAATTTGATCATGTGAATTTTTGATGAATTGCCATCCTAAAAAATCAGACCCTGCTTTCGGCTTCGAGGACTACTTTCCTCTTCACTCTTGGGATTCTTTGTAGATGTTTGGTCATGGATCAATATACCTATAAGTACCATTTTTAGAGGGATGAGCATCCATAAATCCCAGCTATTTTGATGTGAACAAACATGGGGTACAAGGTTTTGACCCATCCCCATATCATCCCACTTTGGGCATAAACCCATCCGGCTGCAGGTAGATCCAAAAATCAATCCACACGAACGACAAAAGCTCCAAACGATATACACCAACTGAAAGTTTAATGTCCCAGGTGACACAGGGAAATAAACCCCAGTGAAATAAAGTGAGGAAACCCAGTTTCAAACGAGTTATCCATCATAAATCAACGAACAAATCCCATATTTGGGTTGGTTGCATCCCATGTTTCCCGGTGAAACCACTATACCAGCGATGGTTAAATCCTCCAAAGAATGTTGGTTATGTTATATCCAATAAATACTCCACCACATCCCATTCATTCCCATGAAAAATCTCATCAAATCCCACTAGATCTCCACTAAATCCCATTGTATCCCACTAAATCCTAGCAAATCTCCCTTATATACCACTAAATCCGAGCAAATCTGCATTATACCGCACCAAATCCCACTGAATCCCGCTAGTCTCCCACCAAATCGCACTAAATCCTATTGAATCGCCACAAAATCCTACAATGTGGTGCCCCCCCAAGTTATGTTTATTGGTTTATAAACCCCATTAACCATAGTTATAAGTATCATAAACCATAGTTATTGGAGTTGTAAGTTATAAACCAACTTAGCTATCTTGGGGGCCTCACATTGTACTAAATCTCTACTGCATCCCCATTAAAGGTCCCTTTTTCTTGTCACGACTAGCTTCCTCACCAGGAGACGTTGTGGCCTGGGTGCAACACAACCCATTCCCGCCTCCCTGCGCGCAGCGGCATTGCTGAGCTTCGAAGGGGAGAAGGTGCCAGAGGACATGGTGGAAACAGCTTTGCTGGCAAAAATGTTGATATTACATTTTAAATCTTACTGGCATTTAATTCTTGGTGTGGGACCCAGGACTTGCAAAGTGGGCAATAACATTATATACTGTATTAGTATTGTATTATATATATATAATCATAAAAGGTAGCTACAGATAAAAAAACATGTGTGTATGTACAGAGAGAAAAAGATTGGGATTTTCTAAATGTATACATAGCTATGGTGTTTGTTGCATTTATCGAAATAATTCATCTGGTAACTGGTTGGTTGAGCTGTTGACCCTTGTTGATGATGGGAAATCTTGAACTTGAGCTTACTTTAGACAGCAAATTTGTGATTCGATCCACCTATTGTGGCCAACAAAGATAGATATGAATTGGTGTTCAACAAATGCTAACTGGTGTGCAATTATTCTAGTTGGCTGCTATGGCATATTATTTAAGTCATCTATGTACTGAATGTATATATATATACCATATATTTACATTTATATATATATATATTTATGTATAGATGTATATATATATAATTATATATACATATACACACTGAATATTAATGTGTATATATACATATACCATATATATATACTGTATCCATCTATGGGAAATATCAAGCTTCTTCGGTGTATGTATTTTTCACAATGGTTATCCAGTTCGTTTTTAGATTCAAATCCGAAGTTTCGGGGTGTTCATATAGGCATTGAAAAAACATGTCATTAATATAGTTATATCCATAATTGGTACCCCAAAATAGATGGTTTTTCTAGTGGAAAATCCCCACATCTAAAATAGATGATGTGTGTGTATATATATATACATATTCGGATAAAAATACGGACTTGTTTTTACATGGTTACGATTTAATCTGTTTCAGCCAGTTGGACCTGGCTGAAGCTGATCTTGCGCTGATTCCCCCGTAAGGGTTACTCAACAGATTAGCCTCTGGTAAACATACAAAGAACTATGGAAAATCACCATTTTTAATGGGAAAATCAACTATTTCTATGTCTATTTTCAATAGCAAACTGTTTGTTTACCAGAGGGTACCATTTGTGCTCTATTTGGAACTGTTCTGGGCCTTTCAGCAGATCCACGCAGCTCTGAGTGAAACAAACCAGTTGCGTCGAAACGTTCGGTGACAAATTCCACAAACTTGTCTTTAGAAAGCCCTGGTCTATTCATATGTCATTGAAGTGCTGTGCGCATTCCCCCAATCCCCCAATCGTTATATCATAACTCACTCTCAACCTTCCAGGAAGACGTTTTTTTGGCTTGAAAAGTGAGATTATTTCTTGTGAAAGATCCACATTGACCTTACAACATCCCGAACAGGAAATGGCCACCAATGTATTGCCGAAAGAAATGTGTCAAACGTGAGTATCAAATAGTTGCAAGTTGATTTATCAATCCGGGCCACTATAGTAGCACAATATGTCACAATCACCATGAGCCCAACAGTTATCTGGTTGGTGGTTTCAAACATTTGGATTATTTTCCATTTCATATATTGGATAATCCCGACCCCATTGACGAACTCCATCATGTTTCACAGGGGTTGGCTCAACCACCAACCAGTTATAGTTATATATTTGCATATCATAAAGCATAGTTATTGGAGGTATTAACCAACTTAGCTATCTTTAAATCAGCTATGAATCCCATTAAACCCACATTTTCCTATGGTTCTATGTAATATCGCCATATATAGCCTATGTTAATGAAGCAACCATGGAATCAGGTGCCCTTGGAGCCGAGCCCTTGGATATCTTGGATCGGGGTCTTGGGCACACCAGGTCTCCTTTGAAGAGTTCTTGCTTTGGTCCGGCTCTCAGGGGTGTCACTGCCCGGGCTTCGCTCGGTCTCCGGTACGCGAAGTGGGAAGATTTTTCTGATGAATACTTTGTTGGATTACAGCCATAGAGATTTTGATGATGTTTGGAATGTTTGGAATATTTTGGAATATGTGGATCTTTTTGATGAGGTACTCGAATCTAAGATGTTTCTCTGTATCTAGCCATACAGATTTTTGAGTAGTTTTTTTCAATGTTGAGGTTAGATGGATTTAACCCCACAATATGCTACAAGTTGAACATTTCGCTGCGGATTAAACAACCATTCAGCAACCTAAAATGAAGAGGAACTCACCATGTAACTGCAATCACGGTTGAAGCCCTGTTGAAGCCTTCAATGTTCATTGCCACTCTGGAACCAAACCTTAATGCTAGGTCAATCAACTGGATGGGTAGAAACATGTAGAAACTAATCCTGACTAGTCTTTTGGTATCAATGGGAATATCTACGTTCACCAGCAAAGAATTTGATTATTTGCAGGGTATCTAAGATTGGCAATGGATGTGAAAAACAGTTTGCTTTCATAGATAAGACGATAACGCTGAAGAGGCTAAACGTTTAAAGACGAGCAGTATGTACAGTCAGGAGCGAAAAAACATGTCGGATGAGTTCAAATTGCCCAGCCTCAGATGTGCATTGATCATTGTTTGCTGTTGTGAAGCCTGGACTTTTGATGGATCAACAATTCAACAAACAGTTTCTGTCAAAGCAAAACAACAATTATGCTACAAAAACTTGGTAGCATTAGTTCCACAAATGCAGTCATCCTTTTCCATCTTGGCATTTCTTGGCGCACAAGCCAAGCTGCCAAATGATGCCGGTTTCTTCGCCCTCCTCAACTGTGCGGTTTCTTCGCCTTCGCGGCCGGCCACGCAGGGGACTAGGAAGGACAGGAGGACACCATGACGAAGCCGTTTGGGCCGTTTGGGTTAAAGTGAAGGAAGCTGCTGAGCATCTTGAAGCGGATACTGCGACAGCTGATGTACAAAACGACCTGCACCTGCCTCTCACTACCTTTCTGGTTAGAAATCGTTAACTCCCCCACACGGTCCAGTTTATGGTTAGAATCGTGTCCTGTCATTTTGTGATCAGGTAGCCAGTTTTTTTGAAGGATGTTGCAGGCATAAATCCCTGAGTGGGGTGTTTGGTCATTGTAGGGCTTCACATGCTGACCAAACACCGCAAATGATGATAAATGATGGCTGTTAAAGTTTTAACCGTTAAAGAAAATCAGGCATTTACAGATGATTTACAGATCATGTTCCAAACTTTTCGTATGAACAGTTGAGTTTTGCTATGATTTATATTATTCAAAGGTCACCTGGTAAAGGACATGGTGAAGGACCAAGTGTGGAGAAAATCTCCAAAAACACTTGTGAAGGGTTTCTTGCACTACTATCCTATCCCATTAATATGGCTAAAACATGGTAAAACAAACAATTTCATAAACCATCCTCCAGTCATCTCCATGTTTATATCTAGTATAAACGTTATCATTCCCAATATTCCCATAATATTCCCATATCATTGGCTGGTTTATTGGTGTTTTACCCTACCCTTTTTCGGGTTTCAAGGTTACCACATGGCCTTTTCGTCATAGGCGCTTTCAGGGTAAATCCGGGCCTTGGATCCATCGGATCCAGAGTTTCAAAGGTCTGACGCTTGGTTCTTGCAGGAACGATCAATAACTAGGGTTTAATAGGAGATTATACATCTATAGACTATAGATATCTATAATAGTGGTTTGGAAATAAATCCTATATG